TTTTGCTGAGGAAGACTGGCCCTGGGCTAACATCCGTGCCCATCTTCCTCTACTTTATATGGGATGCCGCCACAGCATGGCTTGACAAGCGGTGCGTAGGTGCGCGCCCGGGATCCGAACCGGCGAATCCCGGGCCGCCGCAGCGGAGCGCGCGCACTTAACCGCTTGCGCCACCGGGCCGGCCCCTTTACTAATTTTTAATCTGCTTGTCCTATTAATTACTGAGAAAGAGGTGTCAAAAATATCCTGATTGTGGATTTTATTTCTTTTGAATTCTGCATATGTTTACCAACTCTTGAGCTATGTCATTAGGTAGATAGTAACATAAACCTGTTATATTGTCCCAATGTTTTCTCTTTCCTGAACCTTTTGTTGTAATGTAATGATTCCCTTTATCTCTAGGAATGGTTTGTGCTTTAAAGTCTCTATTTCATCTAATATTAGTAGAGCTATACCAGTTTTCTATTGGTTACTATTTGCTTCATATAACTTTTTTCCATTGTTTGACTTTCAAACTTTGTGTGTCCTTGTATTTAAGGTGGTCTCTCATTTTCAGCATATGGCTGGGTTCTATACTTTTGTTCTGTCTGCTATGATCTGGATGTTTGTGTTCCCCCAAAATTCACATGTCAGAATCCCAATGCTCAGTGTGATGCTATTAGGAAGTGGGGCCTTTGGGAATTGATTAGGTCATGAGGGTAGAGCCCTCATGAATGGGATTAGTGTTCTTATAAAAGAACCCACAAAACTTTCCAGCCCTTTCCACCATGTGAGGATAGTTAGAAACCTGTGAACCAGAAGAGAGCCCTCACCAACCATGCTGATCTCCAACCACTCTCATCTTCAACTTCCAGCCTCCAGAACTGTGAGAAATACATTTATGCTGTTTATAAGCCACTCAGTCTGTGGTCTTTTGTTATAGCAGCCTGAACAGACTAAGACACTGTGACAATCTTTGTCATTTAATGAAATTAAATTGAATGTAAATATTGATATTTTTGGCTTAAGATCTACCATCTTTTTTTTTCCTGTCCCACCCATTTTTTCCTTTCCTTGCCTTTTGATTTTTAAAAATTCATTTATTCTCTACTCATATTGAAATTATACATTCTATTTTACGATTACCCTGGATTTTACAATATGCATGGGATTAACCAAAGCCTTTACCCTCCTATAATACTTCAATCCTTTTTACTTTCTCTTATGTTATTGTTGTCTGGTATTTTAAGTCCATCTTATTTTAACAACTCTAGATTTTTATTGTTTTGTATAAAATGTTCATTTACATTTGCCTACATATTTCTTACTTGCTTTGCTTTTCATTTCTTTTTGCATCTCAGAACCCCATCTGGAATCACTTTCTTTCTATATTAAAATGCATTCTTTAGAATTTCCTTTATTTAAGGGTCAGGAAGGGATAATGAAACAAATTTTTGTCTTAAAATCTGCTTGTTTTGTTCTCATTCTTGAAAGATATTTTCATGGGGTATAAAATTCGAGGTTGAACGTTAATTTCTATCTTTATCCTGACATTTTCATTGCACTCTTTTGGTTTCCATTGTTGCTGTTGAAAAGTCTGTTATTCCTTTGAAGGTAATTTTTTTTATGTTTAGCTGGTAAATCTTTTTCTTTTTGATTTTCTGCAGTTACACTATGTGTGTAACAGGTGTGATTTTTATAAATTAATCCTGCTTCATATTCTTTGGGATTTTAAATCTGTAGCCTTGTATTTTTCATCGGCTCTGGAAAATTCTCAGCCCCATTCCCTTTGCCCCTTTTCTTCTGTCGTTGCCTTCTGAGACTATGATTAAATATATGTTAGACTTCCCAATGAAACCTTCTTTTCTCTGCATTTTCCCATGTTTCTGTTGCCATGTTGCATTCTGGATAATTTCTTCACCCCTATCTTTCAGTTCACCAATTCTCTTTTTCCCTGTGTCACACCCTGTTGCCAAATACATCTTTAAATACTTTAAGCAGTTTCCACAAATGTACCTAATAATTCCATATGTGGTCTATGCGGGCCTGTTCTTTTCTGCTGGTTTCCAGCCACGTTGTCTTTTTTCCTTATGTGCCTGACTCTCTTTGCTTGCATATTAATTGCCCCCGAAAAGTTACCTATAAGGGTTACCTGGGGTTTAGATTGAAGAAGTCCTCTTCCAAAGAAGTTTTGTGTTTGCTTCTGCCAGGTCTCAGGTGGTGTTCACCTGAGTTGTAAGGGTTGGTCAGTGATCAAAAAATGTCAGAGATGTTTTCTTTTCCCTTTATTTTTCTTCTACTGCTCTGCTCAGGCACAATGCTACTGTCTCTACAGTCCAGTGGGCCTAACCCTGACCTTCTGTCTCTCTCATTCCCCGTGGCTGGTGAAGGGGCGCCAACTGTGCAGCATCAGCAAACGTTCTAAGGCATAAGCTGATTTGGTGTACCCGCTCTGATGACAGGATCCCATATTTAAACTGCCTTGCCTGTTTAAACTGCACTATCTTTTCCTCCTCAATGCTCTCTTGAGGGGGATGGCATACAATCGATATACTTTTAAATGCAGTCTTTTTTCATTGTTTTTGTTGGGACACTGACCCAAATAACCTAACCTACGTTTACCAGAAACAGTATTGTTCCACCTTTTCAATGTTTTCTCTTTTCTAGACCTTGAGGTTTCCCAGTCCAGATTTTTAGATTTATATACTTTATCCTTCTACTGCTTGCCCATGACATTTTATCCTACTTAGTTAACTTAATAAAATCTAAACAGCATGTTAACCCTCTTTCCAAATAATACAAGCACTTTAGGCCACTTTCATGCAGATCTTCCAGCTTCCAATTTACCTCCTATTGTCCAACATTTCAATTCTACCTTCAGCCCTGTCAATTAGACACTGCTTTTTAAAAAGTCTTTTGATTTACCTACACGTTGGCAATTTTATTTTTCTTCTTGCATATCAGACATTTTCTTTGGAAAGTAGTGGGGAATGGTGGTCCCTAAACCAGCTCAAGTCCTGAGGTGGGCCTGAACTGGCAAAGTTGCACCAGCTCATTGGATCTGCACCACAAAGTCTGCCTGGAACAGCTGGAAACCCGAAGACCCCCTCCTCATCTGGGATCAGCCTGAGCAGCATGTATCTGGCTCTAGGTTGACTTGAGACCTGGGCCAAAAGGTCCTGTGCCATTTCCTGTGGGTCAGAGTCAATGGAGGCCTCAGTAGGAATGTGTACTGGCACTTAATGGGCTGGGGCACTCAGAATCTCCATCTGAGTGATATCTGTCCTCTCCCTTGTTGTTTAAATTTTGTCTCAAAAGTAGGCAGTATGTTAGGTCCACGTGGAGCTCAAGCAGCTATGTGTGTGTGAGGGGGTTGGAGGCCTTGAGCCACTGGCACATTGACAGCCCTGGCCACAAAGAAATCTCAGGTATCCTGATCATCTCAAATAGTGCTGGTCTTATCTTCAGTAAACGAGAGATCAGTTGATACCTGGTGACTCCTGGGAATCGATACTCCACGGCCTCCCTCCTCTCTGCCCACTGGGCACCAGCGCTACCAGGGACTGGCCACTCTGGAGGACGTGTGAACTTTTCTGATGCTGCCTTTGATCAGACCATCCTATGTTCCCACTCCTCCCTCTTAAAAAAACCCAATTCTATTGTCCCACCCAGACGTCACTGCTGCCTCCCTCTTCCCAGCTGGAGGTGGTCACTTTCCTCTGAATGCTGCAGTTTAGTTCAGCATCTGTTAGGGTGGCTTTGCTTGTGGACTTTCTCCCTTATCTATCCTTTATTTACACCTGCTGCCTACTGCCTAGGGCAGTGGCTTGTGCTTAGCAGATCCTCAATAAATATTTGCTGGATAAATTAATCCAAGTCTGTGGAGAGGATCAGGTTTGCCAGTATTGCATATAGAGGACAAACAGCAAGTGTGGTTGTGACATTCCACAGTGGAGTTGAGCGGCAGAAATGCTCCTTCCCTCTCCTCTCCTCACCCCATCCCTCCTCCTCCATCAAAACTGGAGGTTTGAGACTACTGCTGGAGGTCTGGAGACAAAATGAAAGAATTATACTCCTAGAGAGAGGCATGGAAACTATGTGACTAGACAGAGAAATTCTAGAGAGCCAGGAAACTATCTTGCTAGAGATTGTTCTCTTAAAGGAGTGGATTTTGGAGCCAGAGAGACCTGACTTAGAGAGTATTCTTGGACAGATTACTTATCACTCAGAAGACGCTCCCTTTACCCTTTGAGTTACCTACTTAACAGCTTTATACATAGTTAGCAATATTTTGTTAAATTCTCTCTTCCCAACAGAACTGTTTCTGTGTGATGACTACCACTCACACAGCCCACACCCAGGAGTTATGATCCAGTCCCAGTATGAGGATCAATCCATTCTGTGCTTCTCCTGGTGGAGGCACCACCTAATTTCTTATGAAACCTGAGCTACAAGCCCTGTGGGATGAGTCCCCTGCTGCCCTCCCTGGTTTGGATCTGATATAACTTACCCCACAAAGATGTGATACACAAATGG